AGGTCCGGACTTATAAGTCCGGACCTGAACCTGAATGTGAGTCCAGGTACGCAGCACTACACACAATCCAGATCTCTTCTTTTCCACTATAGATACAATTTTAGATAACCCAAGTACATTAATCCGATATCAAGTGTGAGGATTTTGCAGCCTTCTTTCCCAACATTACTATGACTATAAGGACAAATGTCCCCCAAATCAATCCCCTACCCTCCCTCCCTCTCAATTCACCATTCGTTCTTGTGGATCTGAATAAACTAGCAACCAATGTATAATAAAGGAAGTCTCTGATGTTGTAAATGTGAATGTGTCCTCAGGATGGAGCTAATGGACTATCTGGACAGCATCGACTGCAGTCTGGAGGACTTCCAGGCCATGCTGTATGGAAAACAGTTTGGTGTGGATTTTGAGTCCCTCGAGGTAAATTGACACCTCTTGCAAACAAAAGCACAGAAAATATACTTCAAACAACATCTCTGAATGGTTTAATTTAAGCACTGTGTACGCGCTGTTGACGATATGACCCTTTTCACATATTTCCTATATATATAAGTATATAAAAGTAGCTTGGTAATAGATAACTCAAAGGGTTAATATTAATGTGTCAGTGTCACAGACTGACTGTTTTACTAAACTTTAGAGCACTGTGTGAACAATGAAGACACATGTCCGTGTTGTTTTCTGTCCTTCAATCATTTTCATCTTATGGTTCCCTTTGTGAATCCTGTTTCTCTGTGTGTGTTTTCAGGAGAGTTTGTCGAGCACGACACAGCTCAACAGAGGCAGGACGGAGGAAGCAAACATAGGTCGGTCTCGTGTGTGTGTGTGTGTGTGTGTGTGTGTGTGTGTGTGTGTGTGTGTGTGTGTGTGTGTGTGTGTGTGTGTGTGTGTGTGTGTGTGTGTGTGTGTGTGTGTGTGTGTGTGTGTGTGTGTCACAAGATGCTTGTCAGTGTGACAGGACAGCTGCTGAAACACACACAATTATGTACCATATGAAGGTGACATTAGGCCTGCAGGGCAACAGCAGGTGTCTAAGGAAAGGATATGACACCATTTCCTAATCCTCTGGAGACAGATGTGAGGAAGAACTTAAGTGCAACATTTCTAAGTTTATGTGAAATGTGAATGAAAAATATTTAACGAATACTTGCATATGTCTACAAAATACGTATCTCTTTTGTGTAGAAATACATAGATATTTCTTTTGCCAGACTGGAACTTTTATAGTAGTGCATTTGTATTGCCACTCTATCATCTTGATAGACAGCAGACAGCTCCAGAATGCGATTATGAACTGTTCANGTGTGTGTGTGTGTGTGTGTGTGTGTGTGTGTGTGTGTGTGTGTGTGTGTGTGTGTGTGTGTGTGTGTGTGTGTGTGTGTGTGTGTGTGTGTAAATCGTTCAAAGGAAGTAAATACATGGAGGATGATGTTTCAGTTTGGTCACAGGCAGATTTGTTTTACTGGACTCTTGTGTTCTTGTGTTCAGATAAGCAGCTGGTCCAATACACATCATGCCCCCTACTGGCCTTCCTGGACGGCTGCCTCCCTCATGCAGAGCAGGACGTCAGCAGCAGCAGCAGCTCCTCCTTTAACAGCCCTCAGCTCTCCTCCAGCCCCCCAGCTGGTGTGGGGGTGGAGCCCCCCTTAGAGCTGCTGGACTCCAGTGTGGAGTCCAAGCCAACGGCCCGCAGCTCCCTGATCCGCCTGGAGCCTCTGACTGAGGCGGAGGCCAGCGCCGAGACACTCTTCTACCTGTGTGAGCTGAGTCCTGCTGCAGCGGAGGGGGAGGCTCTGCAGGACAGAGTGTGAGCAGGCTCCACACCCTTAGTGGCCCTCACTTCCATCTGGGGGCCACCGTGACAAGCAGCAGTTTGTACCCTGTGCACATTTTTACATTTTGCATTGAAGATAACATTTGAGTTACAGAAGTAGGCGACATTGCCATCAAAAGTTATAATTATAGTTTACCAAAGCATGATGGGAAGTGTAGTTTCAAAATACAAAAACATTCTAATCTAAGTAAAATTAGTACAGCTGACCTTATTCGGTATTTTTTTTTTTTTTGTTACCGTGCATTACGAACAACACATTTTTACTAACAACACAGACAATAGACTTACTTAAAAATACTGCAGTGAACTCTAAAACCACAAGAATAAATAAATATGAATTAACAAGGGCTGCTTCTTATAGCATCAGTGTAATATTGCTGCAACTTGTTCATCGGTGAAATACATTATTATTACCGTACTATGAACACTACTTATTATTAGCAGTGTTTTCTTCAACGCAATGCTCTGAAAAGTGTGGCTCCTGTGGGAACAGGACACCGCTCCAGTATCTTTAGCATCTGGTCAGCGAAGAAGCTGGACTTTGTTTGTACTCTGAAATATATTTATTCACATTGTTTTTTATCTTTTGCTACGTTCTGTCCATAAATATTCAGATAGTGTTGTGCTCAAGCTGCGGGACCTCAGCAACATTTTGCAGAACTGGGATAATAGTTAATCGAAATAAAGACTGAACATAAACCAGTTAATGCCGTCCAACAAAGACACGGCTAATAAACTATTTGGGTAAACTTTTCTGTGTAGTAAGTTCATCTGTTATTCTCAGTTTGACGACACCTGTCCCGGTTGTCAAAATAAGGAAGCAGCTTCAACCATGAAAACATTTATTTTAAAGTAAGAAATTCCTAAATATCCTCCGGGCTCGCTGTTCCATTAGTTGAGGTGAGAAAGACAGAGTGAGGGGGCTGATCTCAGAGCTGTAAATAAATAGTGTCCCTCAGTACGCTCATGTAGTACTGTTTCCTCTGCTGTTCACTGATAGAAGTGCCCTTCTTATCTAGCCATACTTCACATGGCAGAGACTGTTTCTAGTTCACTGCATGGCCATGTCTCTGAGACCCGCCCACATCCCGCCAGCTGTCTCATTGTGCCATTACAATAAAGCAAATGCTACAATGTACATGTGTCCCTGCTTCTAGTGTTATTCTATAACCATGTGCAGAGACTTATTGTGTGATTTCCTCTGCGTTGCCAGCTATTTGCTCCACCTTGGTACACCTGCGAACATAAAGTGTTGTGACGCTCAAAAGAAAAAACTACTCTAGAAATGTAATTTCACATTTCCGATGATTGCTCATACCGGCAGCCCTTTCTTATTGGTCTCCTTAACAGTAAGGTACAAAAACACACACAGCTTCTCCAGCCTGGATGTTGCTGGATTCACAATAGGGAAACAGCTGCTACTTCTGCATACTTTCATTCATATGTAAGAATGTTCAACTCTTCACAGATTTGTATGCTTCTATTCCTACCTCCTAATATTAATTCACAGGACACAATGAAGATTTTTAAATAGAACTGCTGAAGAAGTAATCCCTAGCCGAGACTCAGCTTCTGTCAGTGGTAAGGGTAGTTCGACATTATTTTCTTTCTGTTGCAGGTCTAACAATGCAGGTCTTTTTAGAAATAAAACACACTGCTCTTACTCAGTTTTATTAAACTGCATACAATATACTTTTACATGTCAAGAGAAAAATTATATTAGGATAAAAGCACAGGTGAGACAATCATACAAATGTACACACAATGTGCCTGCTAGGTACATGAGAAACTACATGCTAATGCTAACACTACCAAATAACAACCATTTTACATTTAAAGTCCAAATGTAACACGAAGCAGGAATGCCTTTGTTGTGATTGTGCAAGCTGCAGACACACAACACTGCACATGGTGCAAGTTAGTTACAGTGATCCACAGCTGGAGTTCTGCTCATACACACCACCATCTAACTTGGTTTACATGTAGTGGCATTCCCATTAGTAATACTGCAGTCAGAGTTCACTGTTACACACTACAGCTACTGTTAATGTCACATCAGCTTTAAAGGAAACGCATGCAGCTCTGAAAACTATTTACAATGGCAACAGCATGGGGAGCAGTACATCAGAGCGTGGGTCAGCAGAGGAGCACCCCCAGCTGCACTGATGCATGCTGGACTACCTACTGTCCTACTGAACTAACACTGAAGCAGGGCATGATGGGGGTTTCGGGGGGGGGCAGTGCAGTGGGTGCTTCAGTCAAAGTCTCTGTTGACCAGAACCAGAGGAGCCACCAGCGTCCACACATAGAGGGCGATGCAGATCCAGCTGGAGGAGATCTTCACCCACACTGAGGGCCACTTGCTGGTCATGGCCTCGTAGTTAGAGTCAGGACTGCAGAGAGAACACATCACATGACTCACTTAAAGAGCATAACTCGATACAACAAGATTAAACCTCTGACGCAGAAATGTGAAACGCATGAGGGCAACTCGCTAATATAAACATGACTTCACCCATGACAACTACAAACATGTTTATTTAGAACACAGGTGTCAAACTCAAATCAAATATTTGCTTGGATATTATTTAAGTTATTACTAAAACCTATTATTTTATATATATATATATATAGTAGTCTTAAAGTTACAACCGCCCCTTTGAAAGCAACTAACATGCTAATGTGGCCCATGATTAAAATAAGTTTGAAAGCCCTGATCTAACAGACTGAAGGAAGCATGAGCAGTCAGTTCTACAGTCAGTGAGCGGACACCTACCTGTACCAGTTGGTGAGCGTCATCATGATGTAGAGGGAGGCCAGGAACAGCATGAAGTGGAAGAAGGAGTAGGAGTACGTGACTCCATCCTTCTCGTTGTCCACAGCCCGGTTCACTCCCCCCTCCTCAAAGCTGTCAGCCTGCGGCCCTTCCTCGATCAGGGCCGACTCATCACTGGTGAGGGTCAGCTTGTTCACCTGGGCGTTGGACGAGTTACGGATACTGAGGGCCAGACGGCGGACATGGAGCTGTTAGCTGGACAGACAGGTTCACTAATGTGGGACTTTATGAAAGATCTCTAAAGGACCTCCTCACCTGGAGTACAGGACACACATGAGGAAAAGGATCAATCCCACAATCCCCTGGGCGTCCCACCACTGCACCACATGGCCCTGCCCCGCGGGGCTGGTGCTGTTCAATCCGATGATGCCCAGAAGGCTCGGGTTACACTTCCTATCTGTGAGCAACAACAACATATTTTCACTTCCTGCTCTGGCGCACACACACACACACACACACACACACACACACACACACACACACACACACACACACACACACACACACACACACACACACACACACACACACACACACACACACACACACT